CGATGCTGTATTTCTGAGGCCATATTTGAAGTCTGGATAGATTAGCAATACTTTATAATCTGAAATAAGGTAATAAATCATTTAAAATCGGACAAAAATAAGAAAAAAAATCTACTTGAAAATCACAAGAAAATCAATTGGAATAAAGGAAGTATACTTTAGAATTAGAAAAGAGACAGATTTTTAAAAAAATTAAAGATAATTTAAATAAAAAAATAAACTAAATTTAAAATGATCTTAAATTGGGAAGAAAAGACAAGTTAAAATATCTTAAAATTATTTTTTTTAAAGAAACTAACTAAAATTACTGTCAAGTAAAATAAAATTCTAAACAATGTCCATGAACAAGCTGTACTAACAAAAGATATAATTAAAGATAACTAATTCAATTCAATTCAATTTTATTTGTATAGTGCAGTTTACAACATATGCCTTCTCACAGCGCTTAACATATTAAGGTATAGACCTTACAAATTTAACCAGAGAACCCAACAATACAAAGATGCCTTTGGACTCCCTCTGAGCTGTTAGAATTACAATTCACATGTGTGTATTTTTTCATAAAATATATTTAAATATTCTAAATTTAATCAACTGAAGTTTGAAACTTTATTTTGAAGATATATGATTATAACTGATAAAAAATAAATAAAAAAATGAATATAGCTTTATGCACATTTTATTTTAAAGTTTTCCTTTCCTTCGGTTATTTACATGTTCCCAATATAAAAACATATTTATGAACTAATTGCCATTAAAAGTTTAAAACTTTGACTCCGTTCCGGTGTGGACGCTGCTCCGCTCCGGGAAGTTCTGTCTTCCCGCTCCTGCTAAGGGTAAGCTAGGCTAGTTCAAAACTCCCCCCGCTAACCGTTACCTGCTCCCGGTGTCTCCGCTCCCGTTAATGTCGTCCTTTCTCCCCGCGGAGCGTCTCATCCACCGGCACTCGCAGGTTATTTAAAGCAGTATTCAGCCGGTGCCAGCGCTCGGTCGATCCGGTTTGAGTGATCCACCGATCCGAGCTAACTGTTAACCCCACAGCCAAAATGGCGGACAGCGAGGATGACAGCGGAGCGACCAGAACAATAACAGCCGCGGAGCCGCCGGGGGCCGCGGACCAGCCCCCCGCCGCCCTCAGCACCCAGCCCATGGACAGTTTACAGCCACAGCCCGCCGGTCAGGTCACCCAGTTCGTGGAGAAGGTCCCCACAGCGGCCGCCGACCAGAGCAGTCAGCCACGGGAGAATTCACAGCGCGTGTCCGGTGCTGAGGGCGGTCCGCCTGGCGAGAGTGCACCGGCGGCGTCCGGAGCTCAGCTGGCGGACCTGTTACAGAGCTGCCCGGAGGAGCAGAGCATCCTGGTGGGCACCGAGTTCACCGACCTGGCCAACACCACCATCATCTACGTGCAGTCGGACGGCAGCCTGGTGGAGGGCTCCGGGCTGACGGCCGAGGAGCAGCAGGCTCTGCTGGACCAGCTCACTAAGCAGCAGGTCGTCCAGGTGTCCGACACCGAGGCCGCCCAGCTACTCCAGCAGAACCAGCTGGTCAGAACCGTGCCGGTCCACAACACGGCTTTGGACCCGAGCCAGCTGCAGCAGGTCATCAACCAGGTTGCTAAGTCTCAGCAGCAGGTCCAAGTCCAGGCCCAGCAGGTCCCGAAGCAGCAGCAGGTCCAGGTCCAACAGGTTCAGCAAATCCAGGTCCAGGTCCACCAGCAGCAGCAGCAGCAGCACCTGAAGACACAGAAGCAGGTCCAAGTCCCTCAGCAGAACCTGAAGAGCAGCACCCAGAACAACGCCTCCCAGCAGCTGAAGAGCGTCGCGCAGCAGGTGGCCATGCAGACCAGCGGCTCGGTGCAGGTGGTCCAGAAGAAGGTGGGTCCAACACGGAGGCCCGTTAAACTTTAGTGTGGGTCACCTGAAATGTAACAGGCTCACCCGCTCCAGACTGACACTCCTCTCTGGTTCTGTTTGACTTTCCTGTGCTCTGCTTCACTCACCTGTCTGCTCACTAGCTGGTTCTAAAACTGAGGGTTGTGACCCCACTGAGGGTCGCAGGATCCCTGTGAAAGGTCAGGACGAGTGACAGCAGAGCAGTACAGACAGGTTCTGGTTCAGTTCTAACAGTTATTCAGACAAAATGAGAGAGCAGACTGTGACACTGTCAGCGCTGAGCTTAGCGATTAAAGACAACAGTGAAATATTGAAACCAGTTTCACTGAATCTTCTCAGTGCTGCTGAAACCTTTAAAATATCCAGATAAAAACAGCAGTACGTTCATCTTTCTCTATTTTACTGCTTTTTTCTAAAATCACTGATTATTATTGGAACACGTCAGGGGTGTAGCGGTCCACAAAATCCACAGTTCTGTTTTGAGGTCGCTGTTCGGTATATTTTCGGTACAGTGAATACAAGAAATGCATCACATTAGGCTGCTTTTTTTGTTTTGGTCACTAAACAGACCAACCCAATCAACTTTGCAGCCACTAACTACAGTAAACTAACTACTGGAACTGCTCTATTACTGTCAGCTCTCAGCAGCCTTTATTGTGCACAGATCAGTCAGAGATGATGTTGGAGCTGTTGTGAGCAACTGTAGCTTGTGTTTGTTTATAAAAACCATCTGTGGAGGTTATCATTTTGGCCTAATGGTCTGATTTGTTAGCTAAAGGTTGCTTAAATGCTACAAGGAGTTGGGTTTTGTACTGCACCCTACATTTTTGTTGGACCACTGAGCATACAACCAGCTACATACCTGATAATAGTTGAACAATGTCGACATATGACTTTCACCCAATCCATCTGTTTCTTTTTTTAAAGTAGATTTCTCACAAATCCGTCTCCTCTTCCTCAGCAGGTGTTACTGAAGTGTAGTTAGCATAATTTAGCTGCTGTTCTGGAGCTTTTCACCATCTGCCATGGCCTCTATAAAGACGTCCTGATTCTGAGTTTTCTGGTTTCTGTCTTTCAGCCGGAGCCGGTCAGGATACAGATCCAGGTTCCTCCCAAACAGGAAATGAAGCCCGTTGTCGCCACCCAGCAGAAGAGTGTCGCTGTCAATCATCCGCAGGTGAAGCTGTCAGCCAATGGCAGCGTGAGCAGCGCTCAGATCATCCACATCCAGCCTGTGGTTGGTCAGCAGGGTCAGCAGTTCTTTCTGCAGCAGAATCCAGGTGACCCGCCAATCCAGCTGCTGCTGCAGAGCCCCACCCCCATCGTCGGTTCTCTGCTTCCATTGGTCCACAAGCTGACGGGTCAGACGACATCAGCGGGCGCTGCCTCCAGTCTCTGCCAGAAACCAGCGACGTCACCTATCAGAGTTCCAATCAACTCCCCGCTGAAGACCCCTACATCGATTATAAAGACTCCGCCCACTGCCGCTAAAACTGTTAGCATTCCGCTAATTAAAAACTCCGCCAACAGCACAACAACTGCTGCTGGTAAAAGTGCCATTAAACCACCTACAGTGATAACAACAGTCCCAGTTCAGACTGCTACACCTGCTGCTCGACCTGTTACAGTGACTACACCCACTGTAGCCCCGCCCCCAGTGAGGGACAGAGAGCGAGAAAAAGAGAAGAAGTTGAAAAAAAGGGAGAAGAAGGCGGTGAAGATCCAAACACGATCTGGTCGAGTCTCCAGACCTCCAAAGTACAAAGCCAAAGACTACAAGTTTATCAAGACGGAGGACCTCGCTGATAGTCACCAGTCCGACTCCGACGACTACTCTGACATGAGCGTCGAGGAGGAGGACGGTGAGGGTGGGAAGAAGGATGGCCCCGCCCCCGGCAGCTCCACCTCCATCACCTACAGCCACAAATCTCGGTCTCACCGCTGCCAGACCTGCGATAAAGCTTACATCGGCCCTGGAGGTCTGAACCGGCACTACAAACTCAACCCGACCCACGGAGAACCTGAACCGCTAGACAGCACGCCACCCCTCCCCAGCCAATCAGAGGAGACCACTGCAGGAGCTGTCAGAGACAAGGACAAGGAGGAGGAGGTGGAAGAGGAGGAGGAGAAGAAGAAGGAGGAGAAGGAGGATAAACCTGCTGCCATAGCAACCAACAGAGTGAGACACAATCCACCAATCAGTGCTGAGATCTGGAGGGAGGCTCAGATTTTGGTTTCAGTTTTCAGCTTTTTGGCAATTGACCAGTTATTGATTCCTCCTAGTTATTTAACTATGGGTTTATTGACTGCTCAACTTCAATCAATCTGTTGACTAGTTATTCACTGACTAGTCACTATGCTTTTTTATACACAATTTAATGCTGCTGGTTGATTGTTAGTTATTCAATCTTTAGATACATTTCTAACTAATTAATTCCCAAGTGGTAAACTGGCTGACTTACTAGTTAATGGTTTGTCTCTGTCTTTTCCTACCTTGTTTACTTTTTGTCTGCTTGTTGTCAGGTGGAGGGGGGTCCAGCCACAGCTGTAGGACTCAGGGGACTCCATCACCGAGGCCCCGGACGTCCCAGAGGCCGAGGTCGAGGCCGGGGCCGTGGGCGAGGCCGGGGCCGATCTCTGGGACCGCCTCCTAAGGTGAGTTAGCTCCACATATGCCAACACCAACCAACAACAATTCACTTAGGTAAGATTTTAGTCGATCACAACTGTACAGCAAAGCACGTCCTTAGAATCCCACCTGTACAGCAGATCGGGTTTACTTTTGCAGTTTTCTTTGTGACCAATTATTGGGTTACTTCATCGGTGAATGTCATTGGTTGATTCTTTCAGGTGACGATGGGGCTTGTGAGTAGGCGGGGCCGTCGTGGTCGACCGCCGAAGCTTGGCGTTACCACGGTAACTGCAGAGCAGCAGGTGGAGCGGAGACGCGACAGACTGCTGGAGGTAAGATGGAGGGAGAGCAGACAGGACTGTCAAAGTAAAAGATGTCACCCAATGACCTGATGATGTACGTTTCTGGTTGGTGTTTCCATGACAACAGCTGGTGGAGCAGTGTGAGGACGAGGAGCTGATGGACATCGTTCTTCCTCGTTTGACCAAAGTGTTGAGTCTGTGGGAGATGCTGCTGGCGAAGGTACACTCTGATGTTTCCAATGGTGGCAAAAGGGCCGCCACACAAATCAAAATACACACCACCTGCTAAAGTTATGCAGTTCCTCTGTAGTCAGACTTTGATTTTTAATTATTGTGTTATTACACTCAGATGAATTGTAAAGTGTCAGCGGGTGTTTAGAAATTCGGGTGTGAGTGAAACAAGTAAGGTTAGCGGAGGGAAAAGCCAACCCAGTGTCACGGCAATTCATGAAATAGTCACGAAACTTAATCCATTGTTTCGTGTCCTGGGACACGATTTGCCCAACTTTCTTGTGCTCCCCAGCTCGAATTTCAAACCCATACATTTCAACTGAAATTATTATTTTTCCACTTTAGACAGCGCATATGCTGTGATGTTTTCTTTTCTTCCAACAGTCAGGCATTAACCAGTTTTACTGTTATGGCCCGTCCACACTAATACCTATAGAGATCACTATAAAGATGTGTGCGTCTACACTGACCAACGTTAATGTAGTCTGAACAGAAGGACACAAGCAGGAAAAACAAGCAGTATTGTGGTATTTTTTGTGTTTTTATTACACTGGCAGTGTTTGGGGGAAATTTGCGCTCATTGCTTAGGCAGCCCTGTTAGCGTTGCCACATAGCCTCGCCAGAGACATAGAAGAGATCTGTCCTACAGGGTCTGTAATGTTTTTGTGTGTACAGTAGGTGGCGGTAATGCACTTGAACGTTGGATGCCAACCGCCAAATCAATAGAAGAAGAAGCAGCAGCTAGGCTAGGCTAATAGTTAATGTAGCCAGCCTCGACGAGCTGGGGAACATGAAAAAGTAGGCCAAATCGTGTCTCAGGACACGAAACAACAGATTAAGTTTCGTGACTATTTCACGAATTGCCGTGAGACTGGGTTGGCTTTTCCCTCCGCTAACCTTGCTCACCGTTGTCTGCCTCTCAGGTGAAAAGCTCACTACTGCCCCGAGAGGCCTGGGGCACTTACGTTCTGTGAGTGGATATGCAGCATTTTCTTTTTGCGGCGCGTTCCTGTTGATGCAACGCATTCATGTATATGCAGCTCGTTTGTGTATATGCACGTCATTTGCCCGTCGGCCACCGTAAAAAGATGAAGAAAATCTATATTCTCTACATACATGTCACAAAGTGTATTATAGATCAGTTGCCGTTGTGCCACTAGGTGTAGCCGCTTATTGTTTAAGATTGTAGAGAGCAGAAGAGGTGTCACCCAGACTACAGGCAGTTCATGTTGGCAAGCAGAGGGCATTGTTAGGGTTTAGCTAGCAACGGGACCATGACAGAGACTTCTGTTAGGCCTAATGACTTCCAGCTAGAGCTCATAACTTACAACGGTTTTCTACGCTACAAGTGTATCACTATGTTAGTTGATCTAGGCTTGTATTTGCATGTGTGCTGGCCAGAGGTCATTAATCATAAAAAAGGACTTTGTCATGGTGCCCATTTATTAGGTTATCAAGCTTAGGTTTGTGCTCATACTAATTGATTTAATAATGCCTTAATCGGCCTGGTCCTGATTTTTGACGTCAGATTAGAACAACGCTAGTCATTATAACAGTCTTGCTGGAGGAGTTCAGTCACCAAACACCTGTTTCTGTTCTCTGTCCTTCTCCTGTGGCAGGTGGAGCGAGGTGGTCCGGTTCGGACTCGTTTTCCAGACATTTATCGTGAGTTTGAGTCCCTGCAGACTCAGATGAGACAAGCTGCCCAGGACTACATCAGCAGCCCGCTGGGTGGAGCTTCACCTCTGGAGGTCAGGAACATCGAGGTGAGACAATTAAAGGTGTAACTGAAAAGTTGTCATTTCAGTCCATATTGATAATTACTGATATATATTTTATTGTAATATTTTGAATAAATACCAACAGCACAAAGGTTTATTTTGAAGAGCAAATTAGAGTTTGCTTCTACAACCAAACGTTTTCATTGAGTGCTCTTGTGGCAGTTTGTATTTGATGTAATCAGGTAAAGACATCAAACTTGGTTTGCGGCAGAAACATTCTGCTGCAGGTTGTTTTACAGGTAATCAGGACTTTATTCTGAACTGCACTGTGTGTCTCAGGTTGCCAGGTCTCTGGGGATCCTGGACGAGGTCAACAGGATGAAGGTGCTTCCTGGTGCATCGCTCAGCTCCAGTCTGACCAATAAGAACGCCCGATACATGGAGGTAAACTCACTGTCAGCCAGGCTGCTTCTGAGAGCAGGTTCTGTTTGGATCAGGATCCAGTTTTTTAAGTAGATCCAGTTCTCAGTAAATAGGTACATGTCAGACCCTGATCTCAGAACCTAAATCTGTTGTCCTCTGATAAGTCCTGGACCGGTTCTGATCTAGGTTCAGTCCAATTTACTCTAAAGCTTTTTCTCAGAACTCCAAGATGCTGCCGCCATCTAAGAGGTTCAAGATGGAGAACAGCATTCCAGTTCACCACAACGGCATTGAGACACCCACAACTGGTACTGCAACTTTACTACACTGTACTGCACAGTACTGTACACTACTCTACTGCACTGTACTGCATTAGTATCAGTACTCCACAGTAATGGTTCGTTATTGTTCCTGCGTGTTGAACTGAACTGGTTTCATTTTTCTTCCTGTTTTCCAACTTTTCTTTTAAGGCTGTTCAGTGACTGCTATTCCCTCTATTACCCCTGTGACCTCTGTGACCCCTGTTACCCCGGTGATGCCTGTGACCTCTGTTACCCTGGTGCCCTCTGTTACCGCGGTGACCTCCGTTACCCCGGTGACGCCCGTGCCCTCCGTTACCCCGGTGAATTCCTCTCTGAAGTCCTGCTCGGTCTCTGTGTCTCCTCTGGTGATTCCAGATGGATCCAAGTTGCTGCCCATCTCTGCTGACTCCGCCTCCAGGTGAGCTGACCCCGCCCCTTGTACGCTGAGCTCAGGTAGAACAGGCGACCACACAGGTGTGAAGCTTCTGTACCTCTGTTGTGTCTGTAGTGTATCACCTGGAGTAGGTGTGCAGAGCTTATTTTATGTGTTTGTAATGTTCTCAGCCCTTCTGGTTCCACCCCACCGACGACTAACTCCGCCCATGATGCCACCCCCATGGAGGTGAGCCCAGGTGAGGACCAGGGGGAGGGGCTTCTGCCGCTGCAGCAGGACCAGGTGTTGAGCTCTAATGACATCGCAGCTCAGGTGACTGAGCTGGAGAAAGCTCTGGGTTCAAGCCCTGAGAGAACCGCTGACACTAAGACACCTGAGTCTGGACCCGTCCAGATTTCTGGGTCCAGCTCAGACCAAATTCTGCTTCCCTCTCAGCCCCAGCAGCAGGACTCCTCCCAGCCTGAGTTTGACACCACAGAACCGTGCGAGTCCAAAGAACTGCAGGAGGGCCAGGAGATCTACATCCAGACGGAAGGGCTGACGGTGCAGCTGGCAGAACCCGGGTCGGACGGAATCGTCATTGTGAACGGCCCGGATGGGACTACCATGCACATCCAGACCCCGGAGGGCGTCCCGCTGGAGGCAGTCCAGGCCTTGCTGGGCATTGAGGCTTCAGACGGGGCTAAGGCACCGCAGTAAACCTTCAGCACCATCCAGACAGATCTGGACAAAGCAGAACCAGAACCTGGTCTGAACCACATTGCAAAAACAGGCACTTTTAAGGTGGGATGAGACAGTACCTGCAGCTGTACCTGAACCCATCTTACAAAGCCGGACAGAGCACAAACACACCTGTCAGGTTGTCCAATCAGAGGCAGGAGATTATGTTCAGGGCTGTTTGGTGCAGCGCCCCCCTCAGGTCATCCCCGGCATTACAACAGTGCGTGTAATGAGCACAGCCTGCAGGAGGCGCTGACGTGTGATTGAAGATGTTCAGGGGGAATTGTTTCTTTAATCTGAACCAGAGCCGAGTTGCTGTTTGTTCAGACTGAAGTTCTCATTTGAAACTATTTTTTTCGTCGGAGCTGCGTTCAGAAATCAGAGAGGCTGTTTGTCACTTCACGCCTCAGTCCTCAGTTCGTTTGATTTTTGCTGCTCATATTTAATAGACTGTTACCTGAGACAAACTCCTGATCAGCATCAATATCATCAATAACCTGATTGATAAATGGAGGTGAACTGATCAGTTAAACCTGATTTGTTGTTGAGACGAGCTGACAATCATTGTGTGACTCATCCTCTCTGGGCTGCCATACTCTGCAGCGAGGGACAGCCTCACGTCTCGTCTTGTCTCGGTCCGGCTCGTCTGATTGGTCCGTTCAGTTCTCACCTGTGATGATGTCACTGGCGGCTCTTCGGGAGGCGGCAGATCTTCCTGCTGGTTTTAAGGAATCTGGTTGTAAATGTGTAAACTTGTTTTTTTTTCAGTGTTTGTTCATTTAAAACTAGAAGCTAATTAGTTGAATGTTTATATGTAGATAAGTATGAAAAACAAAGTTTAAAGAAGTTGCACTATTTTATTACTTTTTATAAAACTTCACACGTTGTCCAGACATGAACAGAACGTTTGGAGAACCGGCGTGAGGACGGACTGAGAACAGTTTGGAGGGAACCAGACTCATTAATTTGTCATGTTGATGTTCGAGTGCAGAATGAATTAAACACGTTTCATTGTTCCTCCAATAAACTGATGTGACAAACTGAGTCCTGCTGCTCGTTCTGTCCACAACAAGACTGTTCCGATGTCTTTCTGTCCTTTAGCTGCCGTCTCTCCACACCGAAACTGTCCTTTAACATTTTTTCGTCCACATTCATGTTGTCCTCCGATGTCTTTCTGTCCAAACTAAAACATCTGTTCAATGTCTTTCTGTCTACACCAATATTGTCTTCTGGTGTCTTTCTGTCCTCCAGCTTACTGCATCCTGACTAAAACTGTCTTCTGACATCTTTGATTACACCAAAACTGTTGTCTTTTTGTCCACATTCTCTCTGTCCTGTGACCTCTTTCTGTCCCACAACTCACTCCATTAACACTCAAACTGTCTTTGTCCACACTAACACTGTCCTCTGACATCTGTCTGTCCAACTGAAACTGTTCTCTGATGTCTTTTTGTCCTTTTGCTCACTTTGTCCACACTGAGACTGTATTCTAATATTTTCATGTCTTTCGGATCAGTCTGTCCAAACATAAGCTGTCTTCATGTCTTTCTGTCTAAACTCCAGCTGTCCTTGAACGTGTTTCTGTCCTCCAGCTCCTTCTGTCCACACTACGACTGTCCTTTGATATATCTGTCCACAAGAAGACACAAAACTGTCTTGACACCTCTGTCCACAGCAAAACTTGTCCTGTAACATCTTTTTACTGTCCTCTAAAGTCTTTCTGTCTTCCAGCTGCGTCTGTCCAAATTTAAAATATTCTTCTGACACGTTTTTGTCCTTAAACTCACTTTATCCACCCTAATACTGTCCTTAAATGTCTTTCTGTCTGCACCATAACTGTCTTTTAGTCCTTTAGCTCACTTTGTCCACACTGAGACTGCCTTTTAACATTTTCATGTCTTTCGGATCAGTCTGTCCAAACACAAGCTGTCTACGTGTCTTTCTGTCTAAACTCCAGCTGTCCTTGATTGTATTTCTGTCCCCCAGCTCCTTCTGTCCACACTACGACTGTCCTTTGATATATCTGTCCACAAGAAGACACAAAACTGTCTTGACACCTCTGTCCACAGCAAAACTGTCCTGTAAGGTCATCTTGTCCACATTCCTTTTGTCCTCTGACATCTTTACGTCTTGCAGCTCTGTTCGTCCAAAGTCAGACTGTATTCTGATGTCTTTCTATCAACGCCAAGCTTGTCCTCTGACATCATTTGTCCTTCAGCTCACTGCATTCATACTAAAACTGTCCTCGGACGTCTTTCTGTCTGAGCTGAAACTATTGTCTGATTTTTTATTTTTTTTTGTCTTCCAGCTCAGACTGTCCACACTGAGACTGTCCGATGACATCTTTCTGTCATCCAGAACACTGCTTCTATACTACAACTGTCTTCTGACATCTTTCTGTCCTCCACCTACTCCATCTACATTCAAACTGTCCTCTGATGTCTTTCTGTCTTCCGACTCTGGCCTTAAACTCCACTGGTTGTTTTTACCTGCAGCTTCTTCAGCAAATGATCATTATTTTAGTAAAAACCTGAGTCTGCTGAGCTGATGTCTGTAGCTTCTGATGGACGCGGAGGCAGATATTTGTATTTTCAGTGAATATTTACAAAGGAAAGAATACAACAACTAGCTGCATTACTACAAAGTCTGTTATTCATGAAACAGTCTTCTGTAAGTGCACAGTGAGTCCTTGTGGCTGAAGCTTCCTGCAGCCGATCCGTGAACTAGGTGTGCTGAGGCCACTCAGGTGGATCAGAGCGGCCGGTGTCCGGTCTCCAGCAGCAGAGCCTCCAGCGTCAGCCGGCTGTTGGGGGGGATGAAGGGCTGGTGCAACCAGCAGGACAGGTAGACGAGGCCAAGGTCAGGGGTGGCAGCGTGGGCGACTTCCTGCAGGATGGTCTGCTTGAGGCGCAGCTCCTGACTGAAGGCGGCGAACAGGAAGTGACACGAGTCCTCTGAAACAACACAGAGAAGGTTTATTCTAACCCAGAGTGAAGCAGAGTTTAACTTCATCCTATGAAGAGTTCCAGGCCATTGAATTCCACAGAGGAGGGTCCAGATATATCGCTTTAATGGACTTTTTCCATCATTTCTGAGCCTCAGAACTTCATCAGTACAGCAGATAGACACATGACATTTAGGAGGAAGAACACATCTGAGTTCTGGTAGAACCTGACACCAGATCCGTTCTACGTCCATCCAGGTGACACAGTCGGAACACTGGATCTGCTTTTTGTTTAGTTCCTCTAAAACCAAATGTGATCAGCAGTATTATGGGATGTCTCATAGTGTGAACAGTCAGACTGCAGCAGTTTAATGTCTATGACATAGAGTCATAGAAACAATCATTTGGAGCCTTTTTTCACCTTCTACCTTCACTGACCTTCCAGGGCTGCTGCTAAGAAGCATCCCAACATCATGATCCTGCCACCACCATACTTAATGGTGGGGATGGTGTGTTTGTGATGATGTGCAGTGTCTTTCAGATGTAGGGTCTATTCTAATAGGAAAAAAAGCTTTTGATCTCATTCGACCAAAGAAATTTATCTTGTTTTCAGATCATTCACCAGAAAAAAACCTCTTTTAAAAAGTGCATTCTGGCTTGTATCAGCATGTGTGATGGCGGTTGGTCAGAACAAGCTACCAAGCTATCAAGATACCAGGATCATCTAATAGGCATCAGTTTCTTAAATGAAAAATAACTAAATCTTTATGTCATTTCAGACTATTTTTCTGTCATTTTAGACATTTTGAAGTCAGTATGGACATTTTATAACTTCCTGGGCAGCTTTCAGTCATTCTGGACAAGCTTAATATAATTTTGCACACATTTTCAGAATTTTAGACTGATGTTAGGTCATTTTGAACATCTTTTTTGTCATTTATACAATATTTGAGTAATTTTGGCCACTTCTTGGGGTCATTTTGAACATTTATTTAGTCATTCTGTACAGAACTTAAGTCATTATGGACAGTTGTTTAGTTATTGTGGACACTTTTGTGATTCTGGCCAATGTTGAATAAGATTCATGTCCTTTTGGACAAATTTTGGTTAATGTAAAGTAAGCAAGTTTTTGTTTGTCATTTTAGACATTGCGGGGCTGCAAGTTGCCTTGGTGGTTAGCGGCGTCACCTCGCAGCTAGAAGGTCGCCGGTTGGCGTCCCGGTGAGGACACCCGGGATCTTTCTGCATGGAGTCTCCATGTTCTCCCCGTGCAGCGTGGGTTCTCTCCGGGTTCTCCGGCTTCCTCCCACAGTCCGGAAACATGCTGAGGTTAACTGGTGATTCTAAATTGTCCGTAGGTGTGAATGTGAGTGTGCTTGGTTGTCTGTCTCTAAGTGTAGCCCTGTGATAGACTGGTTACCTGTCCCAGGTGAACCTGCCTTCACCCTGAGTCAGCTGGGATAGACTCCAGCCCTTCATAGCTTCATCAGTACAGCAGAAGGACACATGACATTTTCAGGATGAAAGACACATCTAAGTACTGTTAAAAACTTGTTGTGCATTCATTCTAAGCCACCGGATGCTGTTATCTGTGTTCCACTGGTCGGGGCTGTGACCAGGTGAGTGTGCTGCAGGTAGACTCACCCAGCTGTTTGGAGGTCCAGCTGTGGAACAGAGGAACCTTTCTGCCTTCAGGTCCAAACTGAAACTCCTCCAGGTCCCGAATGCCTCGCTGCGATGTCATCAGACGCCCCATCTTCGTCACCACGGCAACCTGACAGCATGAAGACGACATCATGACCATCTTTGTTGTTGTTTACGGCACTCTGACCTCCTCATCGAAAGAAAGAAAATTGTTATTTGTCACTTGAATTATGTTAATTGAAGTGTCACCATTTTGTCGACGACCTCCTGCAGTTTGACGCATTCATCCTGCAGCTCTGCAGCTGCAGCCACCTGCTGCGCCGCTGCTGCTGCTGAAGACAATGAAGGCGATGAAGATGATGAAGACTCGTCCACCAGCAGTCGGTCGCTCTGAGAGCTGAAGGATCAAAAATGTTTAGAACCTGTTTAATAGATCAGTCAGTGAAACCAAGTCAGCAGCTCTGTAGCCCCTAACGAGTACTAGTTCAGTATAGCAGTAGTGTGAGTATTTCCTCTGATATGTGTGCTTGTACTACTGTAACTGCAGTACTGTTGCTTCAGCCACATCATGACTTGTGTACTTGGACTGCAGTAACTGTAGTATTTTTACCTCAGCCACATTATGACTTGTTCACTTGTATTGCTGTAACTGTAGTACTTTTACTTTAGTCTCATGGTAACTTGTGTACTTGTACTGCAGTGACTGTAATAACTCCAGTAACTGTAGTACTTTTACCTCAGCCACACTATGACGTGTACTTGCAATGCAGTAACTGTAGTAATTGTAAACTTTTGCTTCAGTGGCCAGACAGTGATTGTAGAACTTACAGACGGCGACCGAGGTCCCTGAACTCACCGTCTCAGGTTTACGATGCTCGTTGCGGCCCTGAACCCGTCGTCATTCAGTCGCTCCCACTTCAGCATCAGGTTGTGCCAGTCGGCCGCGTTGTCTTTGGTCTTTCTGGCACTTCCTGTGACCGCAGAGCACTTCCTGTTTGATGATGATGCCGTGATGTCACCAGACTCACCTGAGAAGAGAGTCAGCTGATTTCTGCGTACTCGAGTAAACGACAACACCAACAAATACTTTGTGCTGAAAACAAGATGAGTGGAAGGGGAGTTACCACAGCAACTGTAGTGATAACTGTAGTTACTGCAGTTACCATAGTTACTACAGGTATCTATCACAGCAGTCAACATAGTTACTACAGTAACTAAAGTTACTTGTTACTACAGGTACGTTACCTGTCCAGGTGTCCTCTCCTATCTGTCCTGTTTGATATTTCATTAATCAAAGTGTAACTGATCACTGACACCTGATAATTGATCAATCTGCAGAATCAATGCTGCTCTAATTAATAACGGACAGATTTTAGCCAATCAGCGCTCGGACTGAGCCATGGCCGATCAGCTGATTGACTGTTTACCACGCGGAGCCTCGTGCACGTTTCATCTCTGTGTCGGTGAAGTGACCTGATCCGTCATAGGAACGTGCAGCAGATGATCGTTTATCGATCGCCTGATCAGACATTCACTCACCTTCCATCGGATCAATAAGAGCTCGCGCAGCGGATCAGCTTCACGTTTCCATTCCTCCTCCGTCTTCTTCTTCTTCGTCTTCCTGTTGTTCTTCTTCGGTGGTGTCCTGCTGCTCAGCGGCGCCTCCTGCGGATAGATAACTGCATCTGTTTGCAGAAAACTCTTCTCATCTGCTGATTGAAGATCAGAGGGCTGCACTACGAAGCGGGATTAGAGGGTTATCGAGGTATGTTGAGCTCAAAGTCAGAGTTTTCAGTATCACGAAGGTGGCTCTCTTGTTACCTGCTAGCTCTCCATGGTAACTGATGCTGTGGAGCTAGATCTCCATGGTAACTGATGCTGTGGAGCTAGATTTCCATGGTCAGTGATGCTGTTGACCTAGGTCTCCATGGTAACTGATGCTGTGGAGCTAACCTGGGGCCTGTATTGTGAAGCAGGATTTGGGGTTCGTGAGGTAGCTTCAGGTTAAATCCTGGGTTTTCAGTACTACGACGGTGGTTAAATTCTTACCGGGGTACATCACCATGGTAACTTACGCTGAACGGCTAACTTGCTCCGCAGCAGGTTCTGTTCAGAGTTTCGCATTTAAATTGGCTAGAAAGAACGTTTGCGGTTTTGTCGAGCCGGTTTACACAAAGAAAGCCTGGCTATGTCAAACTTCGTAGTACAGCCCTCAGTTATCAACACCTGCATCAGACTCTTATTATCCGGTTATTGGTTTATTCTAATTTGAAGGTGTAAACAGATTTTGATATTTGCTCCGTTTTCTTTTTGTTTATTGTTTTTGTTGCTTTGCTGCTGTATGTTTCTTGAAGTGTAAACAAACAGCCAGAGGACACTGAGATTACAGCATGTGTTTGTTTACAGTTAAAGGAAATCAAACAAAGAGATGGCAGGTTACTAATATGGTGACAACAGTAACTAATAATGAAGTAACTAATAATAGAGTAACTGTGTTAACGATAGGAGCTGTAGTTACTGTAATAGTAGAGTAACTGTAGTAATATCATAGCTGTAGTACCTGTCATGTTATAGTAAGTGTAGTAATTAGAGTAACTATACGAAATATAGTAACTGCAGTAACTATATTAACTGTAGTAACTTTGGTAACTACAGTAACTGTAACAACAATAGGAACTAAAGTAACTGTAGCCACTATAACAACTGGAGTAACTATTAGTTACTGTGGTAATCGTGGTAACTATCGTAACTGTAATTAAGTGTAGTATGTATGGTAACTGTAGTAACATGTGATACTTGTATACATACACTGCAGTAACTATGGAAACTATAGTAACTGTGTGTAGTAACTGTAACAGTAACTGTAGCAACTGTAGTACTTTTACGTTACATGACGACTTGTGCACGTGCACTGCAGTAATTACAGTAACTAAAGTAACTGTACTACTGTAACTTCTGCCACACGATGGCACGTGTACTTGAACTGCAGTATTTCCACTGTGGTGTACATCTGGTCGAGCTGTGCTTTTGCTGCCCTCTGTCTTGTCTGACAGGAGAGCCGTTACGTAACTTACTGGCAGTGACGACAGCCTCTGGGCAGGATGTTCTACAGAGAGAGGTCTCACTCTGTGTCATGTCGAAGAGCAGAAACAGATCAGCATGAGACACCAATGCGGCCTGTCAGCTTTAATCTGATGGATCAGACAGATAAACAGCTAGCATACACACAACAAATACACACACAACTAGTATACACACAGTTAGTATACACACAACAAATACACACACAACGAGTATACACACAGCTAGTATACACACAACAAATACACACACAACTAGTATACACACAACAAATACACACAGCTAGTATACACACAACAAATACACACACAATTGATACCCAAGTGAATGATATTCAGGCCAACACTTCCTGTTCCAGATCTGGAGACATTTCAGCTGATAAACATCTAAACTCAGGTACATTTTAAAAGAGAATCAATCAATAAACTGTCAAGAATTCCAGACTACAAACAAAAACCAGGATTTTTTTTGCACTAACATCTTGTCAATCATCTACAGGCTGTGACTATTCACATACTGTTTACAAATTAATGTTTATGTTTATTCATGTGCTTGTCAGATTTAAACCAGATAACTATAAATGCAGACACACAAACAGACACTAAACATCTTCAGTTCTATGTAACACTAACAGATAAATAACTGGTGTTTTTCCTCAGCTCTGCTTCACATTCATATGTTTGTATATTATTGTGTTTTGTCTTCAATCTGAGGACAGACAGAGGTTACGGATCGATGATATTGATGATCGATGTGTGTTTGAGCAAGAGTGTGTTAACTTGAACCCTGAGGACATAGAAACATTCAGAGTGAGACCTCCTCTGCTCACATACGCTCTGCTCACTGACTCAGGAAGCAGCAGAAGAAGGACCAGACTCACAACTCCAGCGACCGTCAGTGAGACCGGAGGACTCATCAGTGATCAATACAACAGCTGATCAGTTTGTTACTGTGATCAGACCTGCTACCTCAGATGGCGGCAGTGCTGCAGCTACCTGCTGAGCTTTGGCTACAGGTGTTCAGCTTTCTGTCCTGGAGGGACAAACTGAGCATGCGCTGCACCTGTTCGCACTTCAGACACCTGATGGATAAGTCCCGTCCCCTGTGGCGTGGCTTCAGCGTCGTGCTACGACACTTTTCACGCTATAACCGTCCATTCTGGCGTAGCTTGGCTCAGTGGCACGTGGGCAGCGTGTGGTTGCGCTCAGGTAAGAGGAAGGACCTGAAGCAGCTGTCCACCTGGCTACCTGCTCTGGACGCGCTGCGATTGGACAACTGGACGGACGGAGACGTCGACGGGCTGAAACTATTCCACCAGCTGCAGCATCTGTCGGTCACTTCCTGTTCGACGCCGTTAAAGAACCCGCAGTTCCTGCTGTCTCTGCGTCACCAGCTGACGCAGCTCAGCCTCTGTAACGTACAGCTCACCTGTCCTTCTGCTCACCTATTGGCCGCCATCAGCCAGCTGACCCATCTAACCTCCCTGCAGCTGCATCACGACGGCAATCTGAGAGTCCCGACGCTCAGTGGCGTCCTCAGTCACTTGACCGAGCTCAGACACCTGTCCTGGACCATGATCACCTACAAAACACTGTCACATGACTTCTTTAGCCCCGCCCACCGCCCAGGTAAACACATACATAAAGGCACAAAGGTAAACTCACCTGGATGATTTAGTGGTAAAATCAGTTGCTGGACGACCTCGTTGTTACTGCTACATCAATCAAATTTAAAGAGGGAAACTAATTATTCATCATGAAAATATCTGTGATCGATTGATACACCCTGCAGGAACGGTTCTGTCTGATAATCACAAAGTTATCTGTGATTGATTAATACAGTCTGCACTAGCTTTTTGTCAGATTATGGTGTGAATGTGAGTGTGCTTGGTTGTCTGTCTCTAAGTGTGGCCCTGTGATAGACTGGCAAACTGTCCAGGGTGTCCCCTGCCTTCGCCCTGAGTCAGCTGGGATAGGCTCCAGCCCCCCCGCGACCCCAGTGAGGATTAAGCGGTGTATAGATAATGGATGGATGGATATTGACCAGAATCTTGCAGGTGTCAGGTAGAAGCTCAGGTGTGCTGTGTCTGTCCTCCAGCAGGTGGCGCTGTTCTGCAGCTGTCTGACCTGCAGCTGTTGAACTACGACGCAGTGGTAACGGAGGAAACACTGCAGCCTTTGTCCTGCCTTCGCAGCCTGTCAATTTTCCACCTGTACTCTGTACCTGGACCCACCTGTCACCTGAGAACATGGCTGACGTCACTGCCGCAACTCTGCAGCCTCAGCGTGCATGGTGATCCGCTGATTCTTCCATGACTCTACTGACTTTAATGTACGGTTGGACCGCTGAGGTTCAGTGATGTCATGTGACCTCCCTCTGTCTAATAGGAGGCCACCCCCTGGCAGTGTACGCTGATTGCCTGCCGTCCTCCCTCCTCAGCTTGACTCTCTGTGTGGATCTGCAGCCTGAAGACCTGCAGCTTGTCTCCCTCAGAGTGCCTCGCCTGGAACACCTGCACCTGGAGCCTTGGAGCTCCTCCTCCAACCTGGTCAGACTCCTCCCACAGCTGTTTCCTCACCTGAGGACGTTGCGGATCAGGTGAGCCGCTTACACCTGGACTTAATAAAACCGGAGCCTTTCAGCAGCTGACATTTTCTTTGTGTTTCAGACATCAACACGTGTCAGACGAGGACTTCCTGTGTCTGCAGCAGCTGCAGCGCCTCCACACTCTGGAGGTTCTTGACTCGTTCTACAGACCCGACCCGACCGACCCGAGCTGGGTTGTCTACCAGCCGAGTCCTCGTCTGAGACAGCTGAGCTCTGACCTGCAGAAACAGACTAACCACAGACTGCGAGTCATCACCAGCTCGCAAAGAGACCCGCTCAACTGTGACTGTGTCTGACCAATCAGAGAGTCTAACCTAACAGACTGACCAATCAAAGAGTCAAACCTAACAGACTGACCATCAGAGAGTCTGACCTAACAGACTGCCCATCAGAGAGTCTGACCAAACAAACTGACCAATCAGAGCGTTTAACCTATCGAACTGACCAATCAGAGAGAGCCTGACCACAGAGCAAATCACTTGAACATGGGTGAATTTTTTTTCACTGCTTTCACTGCTGTCACTGCTGCACTGTGGTTAACTTATAGCAGGAGTGTCACATTAAACACTGTATATATTAAAGCTGCCGGCAGAAATCAGTAAATTATCTTTTTATTTATCATTTATGACGTTCTGAATGTGGTTTTGTAGCTTTGAAATGAAATAATATGGAAATGATTTGAGGGAAACAAATCACCTGTTGCGTTTTAAACTGAAATCTTTGATGCACTTCAAACTTAAAGGATGTGAACCCGTAGAGCAGCTTCATAATATAATAAAATAGAAATTAGCTACTGGATATTTAGTGAAACATTAGAATCCAGATTATGAGAGATGATTTGAATCATTTTCTGAGCTGGGCTGTAAATTAAGTTTCACATCTGACAACAACGAGCAACTTAAACTCAGACTGCATTGTGTTAAAGTTGTACGATCAGAAATCTCCTCATTCTCAACAACAATATTCTAATCTGGCTGATGAATATTGCTCTTAATATTTCCGTCCCTTTTACAACTCACCTCTCAAACTAGTGGAAGACATCCCGGCAGCTTCGTTCATCTTTAAGCAGAAGTCTCTGTTATCTATACAGCAGAGCTATGAATTAAGCCAACAAGTTTAAATATGGAGGCTGATGGAGAAATCCTGCTCGCTGAATGTTGTGCAGACACTGATAACGTCCTTGTGGCCTTGGCTGTTGCTGCTGAATGTATTTTGCAGGTAAATTCTCACCCAAACCGATCTGCACTGGTTTGTTGTCAACTATGCAACTACGCTAAACACAGGATGTTCCACACTTACCTGTATGTCCACAGAACACTGAGGGAAGCTACTAGCCTTTGTTGCTGTGAGGTGGAGCCCAGAATGTGCATTCTGTTTTAATAAAACATTAATCTTATTACTCTGAACTGATCTCGTAGACTTTTTCTCACAGAGGTTAAGTCTCTGCAGTGTTAATGCTGATATACCTCAGAAATTTACATATTCACGATAAAACCCTACCAAAAACTATATCAAACACTACTTTGCCTAAATATAACACATATTAGGGTGTTGTTTTAGAGATTAACCAGATTTTTTCTGAACTAAAGTTCTGACCTGACAATAACCCAACAAACCCAAGGATTCCCAATGAGTAATTATTTCTTTTAGAATCGACTCGATTCGATAGAACTTTGATTAGATTGAACTATTGATCTCTTTGGTAGGGTACCTCAGGGAAATTGTTGTTCTAGCAACAGCACAACACCGACAAAGACAGTAGCACACATCATTAAGAAAAAAGCAGTAAACAAGGAAACAAAGGAACAAACTGTTAGGACAGCAGCACGGTGTAGCACTCATACTACTACTACTAATGCTACTACTATTAATAATAATAGCAATGTAAATCAATAATAATAATAAAATACTGATAATAGTAATATGCTAAATAATATAACAGTGTAGTTATGGGCAAATGTAGTTGGACATACAAAATACAAAGGTGCATCAGTTTATAATTCAAATACACACACACACATATAAATAATATTATATTATTGTATTGTGTTTTATTTACTATCATGATGCTGCCACCACTGTGCTTCATGGTGTGTATGTGATGATTTGAAGTGTTTAGTGTCTGCCAAACATGCCATCTACTCTAATGGATGAAAAGCTCCAGTTTGGTCTCCTCAGACCAAATAACCTTCTTTCAGGTGACTTCAGAGCTTTTCTGAGCTTTTTTCGACAGTCTTTCTCTTTGTCTCCCATAAAGCTTTGACTGGTGAAGAAGAGACAACAGTTGTGTAATCAGTCTCTCCCACCTCAGCTGCTAAAGCCTGTAGCTCCTTCAGAGGAGTCATAGGCGTCTTGGTGGCCTCCCTGTATAACTCTAGCACCAACCAGCTGCACCTCAGTTGAATTAGTTGAGTCAGTTGAAAGGGGGTGAATACTTATTGGTAATTCACATTTGTAGAAATGTGTTTTCATTTTGATAGTCTTTTTTGGTAAATTCTTAATTATGTAATAAATAAGCCAGAATAAATTGACCATAACTCAACACTAAAAAATGACAGTGATATTATATACATTATATATATATTCAGATGAACGCTCTGCTTTCAGATCCACATGCAGAACTGTCTGTAGCCATTTATTTGTGATCAGCTCCAAACAGTAATGAACACGTTCAGATTAAGGCAACAGTGCAGTCCCCTCCCTGTTCTGATCACATCATTCACCAGGTGCCTCCAGTCTGTGGCTTCATTGATCAGTTAGAATCTGGTTAATGATCTGAGTTCATAAGTTCACTAGAGGGTGGTTTCCACAGAAATGTCTTTAAACCCGAGTTTAACCTTCTTGAAGTGCAGCAGTGAAATATGAGTCAGAATTTTGCTTCACAGTTCATTGTCCTGCTGCCACTCACTGAAATAAACTCATCTTTACTTTAAACTTCTCGTCAGTCAGCATGAGCTGCAGAGTTCATGTTTCTATAGACAACACAAATGAAGTAAATACTTTTATTTTCAAATTACAAAAACAGGTATTTACAGATAAAAAAAAAAACAAAACTAAAATTTATACAAAAAACGCTCCTCTTCTTTCTGCTCTCATGCAGTCCATGATTAAACTCCCAGAATGCTTTGCACTCAGACAGGTGCAATGTGGGCGGAGTCTCCTTTTGACCTGTCGTCCCGTCATCACTCTGACGCGTCACTTTCTTTTTGTTTCTTCTTTTTCTTCTTCTTTTTGGCACTTTCTGTCACCTGCAGCGTAAAAAGGAAACAAACATTAAATCTGAACTGAAATCAAACCGTTTCATAACTAACAAACTAAGCTGATCTTTTCATCAGTCATTAATTCTTTAAAACTGAATCTGAAGTTGAAACTGTTTTCTTTAGAAAACTGAATCTGGTCATCTCATCACATGACCGCAATTACAATTTGCTTGAACACAATTCAACAAAAACAAGCTGATTTTTATAAATTCTCTACATGTTTTTATTGATGTTGAATGCCTTGTAGCTCCGAACACTGGATCATTACATTTTATGAATCAGCATCTTAAACTGACCTCTGCATCAGGCTCCGCCCCCGTCTCATCAGGCTCCACCCCCGTCTCTGCCGCCGCCTCCTCCATCTTGGCTCTCTTCTCTTTCTTTTTCTTCTTTTTCTCTTTCTTCGCCTCGTCCACAGATGGCGTGTCGGGTTGCGTTGCCTCACCGTCGCTCTCTGCCACCTCCCTCTTCCTCTGTAGGTCAAAGATCAATGACACTCAGTGATAAATCACATCGATTGGAAACTCAAAGCTGATCAGATCCACCCAGCTTGAATGGTGGAACAGCCCTCACAGCTGATTAGTTGTTTGATAAAGGTGAGTTTACCTTCATTGGAGTTTCACTTGGCTCCTCCGTCGTCTTGGAGATGCTGTCGATCAAAATAAATTAAATAAATAAATAAATTCAATTAACTGAACAAACAAATCGGTGTCACTACTGAAACTATGACATCACAGCTTTCAGGTGAGTCTCATGACAATGTTCTCAGGTGAGTTTCTGAAAACTGTTTTCAGGTGAGCTGCACTTCAGCTTTCAGCAGAGTAAAGAAGCTCAGTCTGAAGGTTTCTGTAGCAGACTGACTCCCTCAGAGAGCACGCCAGCTCAGAAAGGGATAACTGTCTGCATCTCACCAGAACACACCTGTGCATTAGCCCCACCCCTCCACGTCCAGCGTACCTGTAGTCGACGTATTGGTTCTTCCAGTCTTGTGGCGTGCTGCCGTTTGGTTTGCCGTGTTTGTCGAGGAGTCCTTTCTGGATCATCATCTTCTTTTGACTCGCCTGATAAACCAAACAAATGTCAGCCATTTAAAAGTGATCAGGTTTTTATTTATTTATTTTTACCTGCAGAGCCAAAGTGATCAATAAGTTAAGGCGTACCTTTGGGCCCAGACCCCACTTCCGAGGATACGTGTCTCTCTCCATGATCACTCTCTTGATCTTCGCTACGACGCCGTGATCGCAGGTGGAGATGACGGCGGTGGTCATCAGAGCGACGGCTGCACGACACGATCAAACACTTGTCAATAATCTGATTCCAACCCGATCGGTTCATCAATGAATGTTGTTTGAAGCCATCAGAGAAGGGTGATAGATAGCAAGTCATCACGGCCCGAAGGCTGCGGCATCTATTTAACTCATCATGTGGCTTCAAACGCACCTGTGCGGCACCCTGCTCACCTGTGCAGATGGCCTCGCCCTTCGTCGTTATAACGACGATGTCCTGGTTGATCTCGATGCCATCCTCGTACCTCAGCACACCTGGCAGCATGATCTTGGCCCCGTAACAGATGGCGTTGACCTGTAGACAGACAAGTGAGTTTCAGTCAGTGTTGGACTAAAACACTGATGTATAGGTGTGGTCCAGGTGTTCGGGAGGAAGACTCACCGCGCTGTCCTTCATCACTAGCCGTCGGTACGACACCAGCAGCTTCTCCAGTGGGAAAATGACTCTTCGCAGGTATGTCTCGTCCTTGTTATGGTCAAACTGCCACTGAGCGTCCAGGACGTCGTGCATCGTCACCATGTTGTCCTGAAACCACGACGATGTCAGCAACAGCAGGTGTGATGTAATGTTCATCCAGAAAGAGTCATAACCCAAATTTGGAACTAATATTTGTTAATTGTTATGTGTTAACATGTCATTTATAATTAGGTTATGCTCTCCTGATCAGTTCTTCTCTGGTGAGTTAATCTTTCACTGTTCTATCACTTTTATGGCCCTTTAAGGCCCATATCGTAAAACATTGAGTCCTATTGTGTTCCAGACTGTTACAGCATAATCTCCATCAGCCTCCTAACTTAGCCATTAGCTGTTAGCATAGCATTAGCTATTGTGAAAGCAGCTAGTGTCCTGATTTGTGTTGATGTTTTTGCAGGTTGTCTGTCAGTAAAAACAGTGTTAAAGTTAATCTCGATTTAGCATTGACAGATAGCATCAGCTACAGGCTAACAGGCACAGCTAACCTCTTAGTTTGAAAAATATCTAGCTGCGCCGACACTAACAGGTGAATCATTCCGGTATTTTCTCTGAAACGGGACGTTTGTGGAAGATTCTGGCTTCTATTACAACTTCAGCAACATTTGCTACGTTTAAACCCAACTTAGCTAATCCACCAGAGCTGCTACAGTCTGCTAATATGTTTATTTATCTATCTGTAATCGCTAGCTTTTGTTGTTTATGGGCTGTTACGCGGTGTGTAACTGCTCAGATTGCGTTGCTGACAGCACAGTGACTGCAGAACGGCTGCATCAGAGCCAAAGGAGAACATTTGATTTATTTCGTCAGTAATCAGCAGATAAAATACTTAAATTTAAAAAAACTAAAAAAAAAAGCATAACACCAGCCCCAATGATCAGTGGATCTCTAATTCAGATGTCAGCAGTGCTGAGGTTCTACAGCATCGACAGACGATGCCGGCTGTAACCTCTGCTGCCGTTTCTGTTGCAAAGTCTAATTACCGAACCTGCACCGAGCAGCAGGACCGGACTCAACGCTTTGACCTGATGGCACAGCTGACAGAAAGTGACGCTCACCTTCTCTCCCAGGACGCCGGAGCGGACTCTCCTCAGCTCCTGCATCTGCCCTCCGACTCCCAGCAGCAGCCCCATGTGGACGCACAGAGTCCGGATGTATGTTCCAGCCTCACAGCTCACCCAAAAGATACCTGCAGGTGACAGGTGACCTCTGACATCACAAACACATCACACCAACATACTAAACCTTCAAAATAAACCAAACTTTAACTCAAAGGTCAGCTTGGATTCATCAAACTTAACATGAATTAATTTGCCCTAACAGTTAAGTCACAGTCAGGTTGATCAAACTGATCGATAGGTGTATTGATCAGCTGTCATACCTAGCCTCCTCTCAGGGTCGTACTCGATGAGCTTGCTCTCGTAGATCGTTCGGACTCTCAGCTGGCGTTTCACGGCGGCGATCAGCGGTGGCCGCTGGAATAAAGCTCCAGTCAGCGTCTCCAATGCCTGCAGAGAACACGTCAGTGAGCGAGGGTCATGTGACTGATCACATGACACAGCTGGCCAATCAGAACAAACACTGAGGCAGAAGCAGGAAAATATCCAACAAGTTTAATTCAGATCATTATCAAGCAGCAGGTGTGTCGAACAAACTAAACAACACTCAGACCTACATTTGCAGGCTCATGCTTTAAACTTTCACTGGACTGTATCTGATCGGTAACTTAGCATTGACGATCAATTAGCTGCGGCAGACTTACCCGGGACAGAGTATGTTCGCTTTCTATTGCATTGTGCAGCCGAACGATTCCCACATACTCTTTACCTGCAACACACACAGAGAGTAGTGAGGAGGCCGCTGGGTTTTACTGTGCTGACGCGCCTGCCAGCCGGGTGGAGACAACAGATAACACGAAGGGCTCGATGGAGATCAATCAGACATGATCAGAATCAATCACTGCACAGTGCAGACGTTTAGATTTCTGTTTAGTTGCTCTGACATCAGGGATAATGTGAAATCAAGGCGGTTGCAGTGACCTCTAGCAGCTGCGTGGCCTCAAAGCATGATGGGAAACACCTGGTTCTCACCTGATCGGTATCGATGTTGACTCAACATCATGAAGTTCAATAGAAGCTTTGGATTTTTGTTAAATTGTAGAGATTAGCTTTGGTTTACTAATTGCATTGCTTCAAGTCATTTCTTTCTGAAGTCAAATATTCAGCCCTGGTCTGGAATCTGCCAAACGGGTGACGGTCACATCTCTTCTGCTCAGAGTAAAAACCGGACTGAATATTTAGACTGAATTCCTAAAAAACAAATATCCATCTCAATTCAATCAGCTGTTAGATCAGCTGACAGCCTGGTGTTTCCCATCATGCACTGCAGTTGTGCATTCGGCCGCCTCGGTCATGCGAGGTTGTCGTTCATGCCTGAGTGAGATCAGCAGCGACCACGACCTCGTCACACCTGATCACCTCCAACGAGCCCGTCACCAATAAAGCACTCAGCCTACCGGCGCTCTGCTGGGACTTGACCAATCGCGTGGCTCGATCGACACACACGATCAGACAGCCGGTGACTTTGGGATCGAGTGTCCCGCTGTGACCCGTCTTCTCTACCCGAAGGATCCTACGAATCCACGCCACAACCTCGTGGGATGACGGGTTCGCCGGCTTGTCCAGATTGATGAAGCCCGACCTGACAGGAACCAGGAAGTACCGTCATCAATGTGCTCAGGGCAATGCTACCATGTTAGCTGAGCATGAACATTAGCGCACCTGACATAGTCGGTGATGTTCCTCTTCAGTGGGTTGCTGCCGTTTGGTAGAGGAGTGTAGTGGGCTGTCCGGATGTTCAGTTTATCAAAGTTCTGCATCAAAACAAGTCACTGTCAGTAACTGTTTCTACGCGAAAGATTTACAACAAGTAACAGAAGATTAAAAATGGATCTATGAAGTGTAAAAATTAATACTCAGAGTCTGCAGAGTGATTTGAGTGTGTGAAGAAATGTAGAAAAATGTGGTTTTACTTCTATTTCTGAAAACCAACTTAGTTTGGCTTGTATTTCACGTTTAGTTGCTGTTTCATATTTCACGTGTTAAAGTTCTCCCCTTTATCAAAGTTTGATTACCACCTGGATGTAAGTTGAAGTGTCACTGGTGTCAAGTTTTTATATTACTGTCTTTTTCAATAAAGTTTAGACTACTGGTTTTATCAATAAAGTTTGATACACTTTCACCAACAATTCCCTTCAGTCTCAGTCACATGATCAGAACACTAGATCGTCTTGGCTGCCGTCGGGTCGAGTCGTTCTCTATGCCAGGCTTCGGGTCATCCGGCAGAACGCCGAGACGACACCGGCGCCACGGCGGAGAGGCCCCGCCCCCAGAACGGGAGCAGAGGCGGAGACTGGGACAAGACGGCAGCACTCAGAGAATGGATAAACCGATTCATCACGTCACATGACCTCGACCAGGACTCTAAAGGGTTAAAGGTCACGCTCAGGAAGTCGTGTGACTCCGAGAGGTGAGATCAGGTGTCTGACCTTTAGCAGCAGCGGCCACTGAGACGTGTCCAAGGAGGCGACTTTGGACTCCGGTTGGATGAAGAAATCTCCGCTCTGCTGGATCTCCTGATGGACACAAACACACCGATCAGATTTAAGCTCATACCGTCTCACCTGTGATCAATCAATCAATCGACAGCTGCACTTACCCCGACATCTTCACTGACTCTCTTCGCCTTCTTCTTCTTCTTTGCCGACGCTGCTGAAAAACAAAAGAACCTTTATTTACAAACCTGTTCAGTAACAGAACCTCAAACAGCACTTAGTTGTAAACCACTAATTCAGTGTGTGATGTGAAATTCATCCAGATGTGCTCGGGTGAAGCTGTCACTGGTGAACACATGAAAAGTAAAAGGAAACTGAACTTGACAACACCTTTACTGAGATGTTTTAAAGTCTAAATGCTTTCTGAAACATCAACATTTGTGAAACTTTTATTCTACCTGTGATCAGACAAAAATTGATTTTACGGGTTTTATCTTGCATCTCGACCATTTTGGACCAGATCTAAAACTACTATATAGACTGATTAAATCTGTTCTACAGTTTTTTTTTTGTCCTTTAAAAAAATCAGACTTAAGAAACCTTTATTCCATTTGTAAAAGAATTTGAAAGGGGGAGGCATGTCACTAAAACTACTGGTTCTGACTGGGAGAAACAAAAGCAGTAAAATGTAGTTTTCTTAGGATTTGTTTTACAAATAAAATAAAACGTAATGGATGTCAAAGTTCAAGTTTCCTTTAAGTGCAGCATCAGAACCGTTTATCTGCAGTTTCTCCTTCAGCTCACAGCCTTCACATTATTTAAATAATATGAAAAAAAAATCTCAGCTGCTTCAGTTTCACCACAAACTGACTTAAAAACTTTATTGTCCACGTGTTCGGGCAAACAGCAGCCGCCCACGTGGTTTCCACTGCAACACGTGGTTGTTAGCATGGGGCGGCTAACACCCCGAGCTAACAGGCCTCCTGAATTGATCAAACATAATATTTAACACGCGCTGAGATCGATACATGAAACTGATCAGATTTAATTAATACGAGGAACAGAAGCGGTGTGGGTGAGCTCGCAGTGGTAGATTAAAACCACCAGGTTCAGCAGAGAAACTGAAACGGCGTTTATCAGCTTCATTCAGAAGCAGCTTGAAACTTTCCCTCATTCTGCGCCTCCACACGAGGCTGCTGATCGCGGCCCTGCAGCTGCACAAACCCGAAATCCCTTCAAAAGGGGCCTCAAACACAGGCCGAAATAACAACCTGTCTGTTAACACACAGAGACACAACACCGTAACGACCTGCTTTATTCAGAACCTGCCTCGAACTCTGATTCATTCCGAGCCTCCACACGTGGCTGCTAATCGGGGCCCTGCAGCTGGACAACCCCTGCAGCTCCAACTTTGCTGCAGACTGAAGCATGAAACACACGCCGAACCAACAACCGAAATGTCAGCATAAAGAAGCATTGAATACAACACAAACTAAATACCAAATAGCCGCTCTGTGATCTGAAATTCCTTGAAGTCATTTTTTTCTCAATGCAGTCTGGCGTCAGACGCAGAAACACGCAGAGTGCAGGCGAATACCGGGTTTGTTCGGTAACAGACTGAGGCAGGTTCAATAAACAGGTGAGTTAAAGGTTATTAGGTAGAAAAATAGAAGAATCGTAGCTGAAAGTCACAGCTGATTAAAGTTTGAGAGAAACGTGCAGCAGACTCACCCTCTCCGTCCGCCATCTTAAACTAAGACTGAGCGCGCACACTGCGACCTTCTTCTTCTTCCTCCTCCTGCTTCTTCTTCTCCGGCTGTTTCCGTAAGATGCACGCTGACATGCGCACAGCAGCTCCCACAAGAGGCACTGTCATGAACACTCAAAATAAATAAAATGTTTTATTTCACTAGATATTGGTAATTATTGATAATTTCTAATTAATGATATTTAATATATACACGCCAAAAATGTTGGATTTGACTTTAGCACACTAGTTATCAGGCAAAAACAGGCAGTGATTTAAAAGTTTACACAACAAAGAAAAACACAAAAAAGAAGTTTATACAGGATGAAGTAATTATCAGATAGACAATAAATAAAGCGAATTAAATCAACCAAATCTGAATAAACTTTAGTATATTTAATGTTCAGAGTTCTACCTTCAGACTGTGAATATTCCAGAGGTCCAGGTCCTTGAAGTCCATAGAGGAGGCTCCAGATTCATCACTTTAATGGACTTTTTCCATCATTTCTGAGCCTCAGAACTTCATCAGTACAGCAGATAGACACATGACATTTAGGAGGAAAAACACATCTGAGTTCTGGTAGAAACTGACACCAGATCAGTTCTACATCCATCCAGGTGTCTCAGTCTGAACACTCGACCTGGTTCTGTTCATGTCCTCTGTCAGCAGCTGGTAGTATCAGTATTATGGGATGTCTCATAGTGGTACCAGTCAGACTGCAGCAGTTTAATGTCTATGACACAGAGTCACACGAACAATCATTTGTACCCTGGATGTGGTTCTGGTTCTGATCATTCACCAGAGGAAACTTTACAAAGTGCATTCTGGGTAAACTTTCCAGGCTCATATCAGCATATGTGATGGTGGTTGATCAGACTTTGACAATGGAAGGATCATTTTACCTGCAGAAGGTACCAGGATCATTTAACAGACATTTAAAAGCGCGAAGATATATTAATATTTTCTTGCAGCAGTCAGTTCAGTTTGAGCATGTGTGTGTAGTTACAGCGTTGAGCCTCTGGGGGGCAGCATGATGCAGGTGTGGACATCATACTTATGACTTTTGTTCGTAATTTTCTCAAGACTTTGTTGGGAGACTTTATTGATATGTTTATAGTGAATGTATTCTGACACATATATACATTTAATTTTAATGTTAGATTAACTAAAGCCAATTAATCATTCAAATATTTGCTATTATTATTATTATTATTATTATTATTATTACTATTATTATTATTATTATTATTATTATTATTATTATTATTATTGTTATATTATGTTCATGTAAGTGATTGATTTTTCTCACGTTCCTTTCGTTGAAGTGTCTGTTCTGTTAACTGATTGGTTGATTGACAGAAGCAGGTTCTCGCAGGCGTTCCACTGACGTCACTCTCCGGTCCGGAAGGTGGCGGGAGTCTCGTGCAGCAGCGGTAATTCAAACCGTAGAAGAAGAAGTGAAGCCGCAGTGGAAGCCGTAGAAGAAGAGAGCCAGTGAGAATATTTGGTGCTTCTTTTACGCCGCAAAACTTCTTCAAACTTCTTCAAACTCACAAAACAAGAAGCAGAACACAGAGGCGAGAAAGAACCGGAGCAGAACCGGACAAGAACCAGGACCGAACGGGGAGACTCGGTGAGTTTAACGTCGGGTTCTGGTGTGTAGAACCGGGCACGGTTCTGTGGAGCTGTGGCTGAGCTAGCAGGCTAACAGCTAACAGGCTAACAGGCGTTTGGTGCTGTGGAACAACAATAACAACAACAAAAACAATACAGAGTTTACTGGAGCGTCTCCTACTGTGTTCTGATTTAAAAACATATACATTTCAGTTAAATAAAATAAATTCAAACATTAAAATCACACCTTTTTTTTCATTTGTGGCAGAAAGTAGTTGATTAATTGATTACCTGAATGACAGAAAACTGATCAACGCTTGCTCTGATAACTTATTATGTCTTTTAGTTGTTTTTTTGAAGCACAAAAGTCAAACATGTATCTTTTCAGCTGGTCACATACATGGAGATTGAATAATTTTCTTTATCATACTTTACAGTAAACTGCAGCTAAAATGGATTGTAGATTAATCAATTACTAGTTGATGGATAAAAGGATAATCTGCTGCTGTTTGTCAGATCAGAATCAGAATTAGAAATACTTTATTGATCCCCTGGGGGAAATTGCTTTCAGTTACAGATGCTCCCAATCAAAAGTCTTAAAAGAAGTAGGAAAACTAAATATATAATTAAATGTCAAGGTTATCGAAAAAGCACAATTATAAACAAGAGTTTTGCCAAAGTGCTGCACAAATAAAATAAAAGACAGTTTGTCACAACAAAATGAACTTAAATGAAACCATTGGTTGGAGGAATACTAATTGTTTAATTAATCGACCAATCCGTAAATAGTCGATGGAATAACTGATAGAAAATAGTCATTAGTTAAAGCTCTAATTTAGATCCAGATGTGTCGTCTTCACTTTGTTTCCGTCGTGTTTATCTGCGTCCGGTCACATCTTCAGAGGACGAAAGAGAAGGAAACAAGGAGACAACTGAGGAAGCACTCCAGCTTGTTATTGAAACCCTGCATCTTGCCTCTGAGTGGCCGGCTGTCTGTGAGGCTGACGTGTCCTGCTCTGTGATTGGCTGGCAGCTGGAGGTCAGTAATGTTTTTTGTGTTTTTGTTCTCAGATGAAATGTTTGTGCTGAAGACTTTGTGCGGACCTGCAGCTCTGCAGCTCCTGCGACCGTTTTCTACCAAAACTCTTCCTACTCTCACTCTGTTCACCAAGGTACCGTCCTCACACAACCTCGTATCTACCAACACTTTAAGGCCAGTTCATGCTTTCTGTTTCCCCGTGCGCTGACTGATGCAACCTTCGACAGCAGACAGTGGATCAGATTTTTTGACACTACACTACACACGTTGGTATTCTGTTTCATTCCCGAGGTGTACCGATCACAGTGGGCGGACATAGCACAGGATATCTGGAGAATTTAGAATTTCCCGCTGTGTTTGAGCTCCTGGAATCCAAGAAGCACACCGCTGCATCATTTCATACTTTGTTCATTTTTGTTTGTTATTTGGTCAACCCAAAACAAACTTCTGTAAAATATTGTTTGCAGAATTTGAGATTTTCAAATGTTTTCGGATCTGGGAGTTTTTGTATTTTCACCCTACCCGTGATGCCATATTTCTCCAACAATATAACTCCCACAGAGCATGAACTTTTGTGAGGACACGGATAAAATAGTTCCCAGCAGATTCAAATGATTGAATGGTGTGTACAGCACAGGGTATCTGGAGAATTTAGAACTTCACACTGTGTTCTTCACTGTTGTCCTTCCCCCATTCTCCTCATTCTCCTTCTTTCGTCCCCCACTTTCCTGTCTTTCTCTCTCGACTTTCCTATTTAGTAAAGGCAAAAAGGCCAAAGAAATTACTTTAATTATTATTATATTATATTATTATTATTTGGGAACCAAAACTAAGATCTGTAAAATATTTTGACAGAATTTTTGCAATTTCATGCATTTTCAGACCTGGTACTTTTTCTGTTCTCTCCCTCAAAAACATCTCACCTGGAAGCCATTTTAAGGGTTCAGTATCTTCAGAAGAGTAACTCCTATAGACATGAGATTTAATGAGGACACAGACAAACATGTTTCTGGTGGATCCAATTAATTGAACGGCTCCATCAGAGGCCTCATTTTAAATTACTGGCCCAATGGCGAAATCTTCGTCACGCCGACACAGAAAACATGAACTGGTCTTAATCAGTGAGTTCTCTAAGGAAAACCCGTATCTGACGACACCTACAAGGGTTTCATGTGACAGTGGCTGCTGATCAGGATCAATAAAGTGACTCGATTCTGTGTTGGGGTGTCATTGTTCTGTGGAAACCATGCATCTCCAGACCTGGTTTAAGTAGCATCAGTGTCAGCAGTAGCACTGTTAGTACCTGTAATCAGATTACAACCAGTATGTAGTCAGATTACAGCCTCTATGTAATTGGATTACAGTCGGCACGTAATTAGTGCACAACCCGTGTGTATAACCTGATTACAGAATGTGTTTGACAACCTGTGTGTGTTATTAAGTTATCAAATTACAGTCTGTGTGTAATCAGATTACAACCTGTGTATAATCAGATTACATCTTGTGTGTAACCAGATTAATGCATGTTGGTAATTAGAATACAACCTGTGTATTATCCATGTACAGCATGTATTACAGCCAGATTACAACGTGTGTATACTCAGATTATGTGTGTAACCAGATAATGCCTGTGAGTAATCAGATTATAGTTTGTGTATGTGTAGCTAGATTAGTGCATGTGAGTAATTAGATTACAACCTGTATAATCCAATTACAGCCTGATTATATTCTGATTGCTGCTTGTGTGTAACCAGATTACAGGCTGCGTGGAAATCAGATTACATACTACCTGTAATCGGATTACAGGCTGCGAGTAATCAGATTACATCTTCTGTGTAACCACATGCTTGTGACTATTCAGATTCCAGCCTGTTTATATTCCAATTGCAGTTTGTGTGTAACCAGATTGTAGCCAGATTAGGGACTAGGTGTAATCAGATTACATCCTTGCATCAATCAGTTAGCGCTGTGTGTTTCTCTGCAGAGTCCGTGTCCTCTGTGTGATGAAGCTAAAGAAGTGCTGCAGCCGTTCAAACACAGGGTGAGACTCTGGACTGGAGATATTATCACCAGCTGTAATCCTGAATTCAAATGTCCAGCATCACATTCTGGACACGACGATTCGTGACGTGTGTGTTTGTGTCCTGCAGTTCGTCCTGCAGCAGGTGGACATCAGCCTTCCAGAGAACAAACTGTGGTGGGACAAGTACAAGTGGGACATACCTGTGTTCCACCTGAACGGACAGTTTGCGATGAAACACCGAGTGGACATGGTGCTGCTGGACAAACTGCTGCAGGACATCGAGGTGAAGAAGGCGTGATGAGAGTCTGTGTATTTGCTGATTTATTTATTAATCAATAAACGGAAGTGATCAATAAATCTGTCGTCACTGTGTCTTCATTAATCTTCGAACCAGCCAGTAGGAGCATCCCTTTCGTGTGATGTCACAGCAGCAGATAATCATTTCATTACGTCGTGCAGTGACATCACACAGAAACCGACACCTGAGTCACATGACTCCCGATTGGTCACCTGATCCTGTGAGCTCATCAATATTTTACCTGCTGATGGTTCAGAGTCTCTGGCTTACACCTGCGTGACCTGGAGCTGGTGTAGAGTGTGGCGGTTGCCATGGAGACGTCAGGTGTGCTGTCAGGCAGGTGAAGGTGTGTTGATGGCGTCCAGCAGCAGCAGCAGAGCTGTGGATGTTCAGGTCGCTCTGCAGAGAGCCAAGAAGAAGATCTGTGACCTGCAGCAGCAACTCAAGTAAGAATCAGTAAGCAATCATCTGTCTTTGAGGTTCTAATAGATTTGGTACTTGTTGTGGTTGGACAGATACAGGTTCTGGTCAGCCAGGTACAGGATTTGTTTAGACAGGTACAGTCTCTAGTGGGTTTTGGTTCTAGTGGGTGACATACAGGTTCTTGTTTGTCAGACACCGGTCCTGGCAGGTCAGGTACTAGTTCTGGTTGGCTGGGAGCAGATACTGTTTGGACAAATGCAGGTTCTGGTGTCCCAGGTGCAGGTACTGTTTGGTTCTGGTTGGACATATGCAGCTCCTGGTTTGTTTGAGTTGAATATGTACATGTCATTGTTGGTCAGGTGCAGGTTCTGATTGGATCTTGACAGTTCTGATTGGACACATAATGGTTCTGTAAGACAGGTACTGGTACTTGTTGGCTTGGTACAAATTGAGGTTTGGTCTTGTTGGTCGGGTGCAGGTTCTGGTTGGTTGTTGTTGGTTCTGGTAGAGACCAGAGTGGCGGTCCTGGCTGGGTTGGGGTCACAGTGTGGAACAGATTAAACACTCAGTCAGCTGCAGGGACCATGTGACCTCAGGTCATGTGACCACATGTATAGACTGAGTGGAGACCAGCTCAGTTTGACTGATTCCTCTGAGTGTTCTGGATGTTCTGGGTGTTCTGGATATTCTGGTCTGCAGCAGGTGAGTCTCAGTTCACTTGATGTGACGAGAAGCTGAACCAGTTTAACCAGTTACATGCGTGTTTCTAGTCTGCAGGTGAGTTTGTTGGGTTTTGATCATGTGCCAGAAAGTGTTTCTCAAGCAGCAGACTGACGGGAGTCACATGAACCACTGACGGATCAAACTGGACTGCTGAGGATGAAACCAGGTTTAAAGAGACACAACGCAACCACAAGGAGAAACCAAACCACCGAGCCGTGGTTGTTGTTGTAGAATCTCAATCTGGAATTCTGCCTCATCAGAATGTAAAAACATCTTGACTCAGGATGTGTTTGTATGTGTGCCGTCTTATTTCCTTGATGTCTGTGTTTTTATTGTATTTCTCATTTAAATAAAATCTACGTCAGAGGAGCTGTGTGTGTTGTGATTGGTAAAAACAGTCAGACAGGTGTGTTTGAACAGCAGGTGAACATCACAGAGGTCCTGAACAGGGCTGAAGGATCTGGTGAAAACATCTACAATGACTGTGATTGTTCTGGCAGGTGTGGCAGTTTGATTCACCAGTTTCAATTTAAATAAATGATTTGAGTGTATGTTTTGTTTTTCCAGAGAAACCAATTCAGAGGGTCCAGAGGAGACCAGTCTGTCCACATGGACCCCCAGCAAGGAACTAAGGGACTCTCTGGTGGACATGTACAGAGGTAAGATACTGCTAGTACTACTTTTGTACTTAAGAATAACAATAATACACCTCTGAAAGGTGTTCCACCATCAGATGTAGAAAGATGTTCCACCATCATCTGTAGAAAAATGTTCCACCATGCTAAAACAACAACTGGCTCCTCTGTTCACTGGTTCCGATCCATGCTGCATTTATTTATTGATCCAGTAGGTTTGATTTTTCCTGTAAAATTGTCGAAAATTATTTGAAACTTGTCTAAACTAATATAACATTTAAAAAAAAAACATTCAAAATATGTCTAAAATAACTGGAGGCTTCTCCAAAATCACATAAAATTGTCTAAATAAACTCAAAACTTGTCCGAACTAGCTCAAGAATTGTCCAAAAATAACTGAAACTGTCCAAAATTACTGTAAACTAAAGAAATATCACAATTTTAAGCACAGATTCGATTAATTTTCTCGATGGAGATGCACTTGAAGAAAAGTTTTTACTGAAAAATATTGTAATTTTAGAGATTTACAAAAAAAGATAATATGCCTTTTAAACCGTTTTGCAGGTTTTGGGGTTCAGAGGTTTAATCAGGTTGAAACTAAAAGCTAAAGGTTCATTTTTGCCAGTGAATAAAAGATTATCACAACACATAATCACCAATAATCAATCGTAAAAGATTGTTTTAGATATCAGAAAGTGTGAAAAACGAACTTTCAAACTGCTTTCCACACATTCAAATTTCAAACGTACACTTTGTTTGAAATTCAAATGTGAAATCAAGTAAGAAAAAAATCCAGATTAAAACTTTGTGGTTGGTTGGTTCTTCATCTTAAGGAGCGTTTCCTGTCCTCCGGCTGTAATCTGAAGACGATCCCGTCCTCCCGTCGCCGTCCTCGGTAATCTGATGTGTAAATGCACCTCGAGGACGACAGCATATTTGGATTTTGACTTTGTGCTTCGTCAAACATGTTTGCAGCGAAGCGTCGGGCTGAGAGGCTCGATGTTAACACAGAGGATGAAACCTGCTGGAGATCAATGGCAACCTCGGTTACTATGGCAACAGCCAGTTTACCTCTACGACTGATGGGAAGCCGACGAGCTGCACTGTTCACCCTGTAAGGACGAATACGAGCTCGTGTTTGTGTGTCCTATTTACAAGTTATGTGACATATTTTTTATGTTACACAATCAAGTGCCATATTTATGAAAACACATTTTTAAGTTAGTAAATTCCAAAAAATGAGGGTTGCTCCAGTGTTCAGTAGGAACGGGAGGGGAACGGAAATCCTGAACTCAAGGTGAAGAAAAATGTAGTTTCATTAAGTTTCCTCAACTTACATTTAATTTTAAATCAACTAATACAGAATGTTGAGTTGATGCAACATTACTATGTTAACTCAATCCATCAAAATGGGGTTTTCAACTAAAAAGTGGATCTAAATCAGCGAATACCATTTTTATCTTTCAGTAATGCATCTAAACAGGTAGTGGAAATAGGTCCCTTGAATTACTTCTGAGAGTTATTTTTACTGATTGCTTTGACGATTGACTTATTTAATCAATAAAACCTTGTCCAAAGTTACGTTGACAGGAATTTTAGAGCCGAAATCAGAGAATGTTTTGCAGTTTTTCTTTAATACCAACTCAAATTATTATCATATTGGTAATTGATCTCAATGCGTTATTTATAGATGTAACACCTTAGGTGAGACACGGCAGCAAAAGGACGTTGCTCCAACTAGTATTTCCATGTTATTTAAGACGTTTTTTAGTGTTAATTACCATGATTATGAAAATTAGTTTTTTAAATTGGCAAATTAAAAAAAATGAAGTTGCTCCAGAATTAAGTAGATAATCCTGAACTCAGTTTAGTCGTCGAGCCAGTTTCATTGAGGTGCCTCCACTTGAATTTAGACTAATGTCATTTTTACCAGTGATGCATGATATTAAAATTTCTGTCCAATACCGATATCTGATGTTAAGATTTCTGATATCGATGATAACTGATATCACTGATGTCGATATTCAATTTTTGTTCACACCGAAAAATTAGTCTAAGTAAGCACTGTGAGAAACTATTCAAAAGAAGCCCAAACTAGACCACATCGTCTTCTTTATTACAAAAGTAAAACACATGTAAACGTATGTAACGTTCAAGTCCAGGATCATTTAAGTAAAAACATCTGTGAAATAGCAGAAATATCAAACGTAGAGACGAAGGCGCTGATGTTAGACAGTCATCGGCTAAATTTGTTCATCGGACCGACACTGATATATGGGAAAAAAACACTAATATCGGCCAATACCGATGTGGTCACCGATATATCGTGCATCCCTAATTGTTACAGAATACTTTAACAATTAATTCACCAATTTAATCAATAAAACATTGTCCAGAGTTAAGTCCAAAACAACATCAGACCCGGAACCAGAGAATATTTTGCAGTTTCTGACATTTTTTAAACCGAGCTGCAGAAGCATCGATAGTTTCTTTCTTCGCCACCTGAGACGAGATTCTGCAGAAACTCGAGAGACAGAAGAAGTAGCAGAAACTGCAGCAACAGTTTATTTAATGAATTTATCAGAGTCCTCCTCCCCCGTCCTCCCTCCTCCTCCTCCTCCCCCGTCCTCCCCCCGGACCGAGCCTCGGTGATAATCCGTCATCTGTCGGTGTCTCTCGCCCAGATCAAACACACCATATGAAACAGTTGTGGAGGAAACACAGTATTCAGTTGTGCAGACGGCAGCCAGACTCACATCGCTCCCATATGTGTCTTTGTTTGTTCAGTTCTTCTTCTGTGGTGCCGCCGTTCAGCCCACTGTACCTCAGTCAGATACTGCTGATACCACACGGTACTGCAGTACTGCGACACGGATACTGCAGTCGGAGCAGCTGTTCGTAAGAGCTGCAATAAAAAGCAACTTGAGTCCCTGAGTTTTGGCTCTTAAGGACTTTTTGTGAAAACAAAAGCACAGCTCCAGCTGGTTTGAACTGAAGCTCCTCAGATTATCATGATGTGCATCACTGAGAATTCACTTTTCACATGCAGCAACAGTAAAATAATATATTTAAAGTGAAACTGGGCTGCAGTTTAGGATGTACATTATTTTTATTTTTTATTATTAAGACTTCATTTAACTTAATTGATAGAACTGTTCCACACAAAGGTCCAATTATTTATTATATTATTGGAATGACTTTATTTGTATTGTTGTCATACTATTTATTTCCCTAAACGCATCCTTTTGTTATAATTGTTTCATCTCCTGTGTCAGTATAAAAAAATATAATGAATGCCAGTGGGAAGCAATTTATATGTTTGCATTTGAATGTAGAACATTTGGATGGTGTCTTGTGTGATAATGATCCACGACATGTTTTAAATCTCTGAACGTTGAATTGAAGCTTTTTAAAGGGGTGGACACGGCTCCAAAACAGAACCAACTTTCAGTTTAAGACCTCAGACACTGAAATCATGGTTTTATTGTAATTATTTAAAAATTTCAAAAGCAGAAAAATAAACAGATGCTTTTAGGAAAAGAAAAAAAACACACCTGAACAAAAAGAAAACTAAAAACTATTAAATGCAGACCAACAAATGTCCTGAAATTATACAGTAGGACAGAGTGAAGAATGAACCTCTAAATCCCTTACAGAGAATTTTATTTTCGCTAATTTAAACTATGGGGGCACATTGCCAAGTAGGTTTTCACATCCCAGGAATTGGACTTGATGTTTTGGTGCTTAACGGGAAACAATGACAAGAAGAAACACTTCAAAGAAGGATAAAGGAATAAAAAGCATGTGTTGCAAGACAAATAAACAGCAAGTGTAGCAAATCCAAGGCTTTATAAAGGTAATAAAAGATTAAAATAAAATACTGACAGTGTGCCAGAGTGTGCCAGTGATTTGCCTGAGAACGTGCAGGATCACGCAGCACCAGCAGGTGGCAGCAGTGAACTGATCTGACCAGGCAGGTGAACGTTTCACACCTGAATCATCTGATTTTACTGCAGAAACACAACAGTGGACTCATTCTGACTAATTTATGCAGGAAGTATTTCACGTTGCACAAAGCAAAAGTGTCTGAGATAAAATGCAAAAAGACTTGATGAGGTTTTGAAACAGTCTGAGCATCGTTTCCATCAGATGTTTTCAACACGTGTATTCCAAATCGAATCACAGTCAGAAAAATCACAGTTGTTGTAGATATTTCCCAGCCTTAATTCAGTGTGATGTCCATGTTTGGAGGATATAATTGTCTCTCATGTCCGTCACAATAAACCTCCAGA